CCTGTAGGTTTGTAGTGAGTTTGGTAATCAGGAAGTAAAAGTCCTTCAGCTTTGTTCTTATTTTTTCAAATGTTCTCCTGCCCTTTTCTCTCTCTCCTTCTTTTGGGACTCCCACAATGCATATATCGGCTGCTGGATGGGTCCCACGGGTTCCTTAACCTCTGTTTACTTTTCTTCAATCTTTGGTCTTTCTATTCCTCAGACTTGATACTCTCTTTATCCTGTCTTCTCATTTGATGAGTCTTTCTGCTTGAATCTGCCTGGGAGTCCCTCTAGTGGATTTTTCATTTCAGGTACTGTATTTTTCAGCTCTAGAATTTTTTTTTTTTTTTTTTTTGTTATTTTGGATTTTCTGTCTCTTTATGGATATTTCTGTTTTGCTCATAGCTTGCTTCCTTAAGGCTCATCTCAACATCTTTTAGTTCTTTGAGCATCTTTGAAACAGTTGCTTTAAAGTCGTTGTCTGGTAGATCTGCCATCATGTTATGTCCCTTCATTTCTTTCCTCTGAATGAGCAGTGCTTTCCTGCTTCTTTGTATGCCTTGTGATTTTTTTTCTTGAACACTGGACATTTGGGTCTAATGATGTGGTAACTCTGGAAATCATACCCTCCTCCTTCCCTGGATTTGCTGTTTTTTGTTTTTAGTTTTGCGTATGTGTATTTAAAGTTTTTTTTTTTTTTTAACATTTATTCATTTTTTGAGAGACAGAGAGAGACAGTGTGAGCGGGGGGAAAGACAGAGACAGAGGGAGACACAGAACCCAAAGCAGGCTCCAGCCTCTGAGCTGTCAGCACAGAGCCCGACGCAGGGCTCGAACTCATGAACCGTGAGATCGTGCCCCGAGCCGAAGTCGGACGCTTAACCAACTGAGACACCCAGGCGCCCTGCTTGTGTTTATTTTAAATTGTTGTCTTTGTGCCAAGGATCAGCCTGACGTGTAAAGATACAGTCGCCACAGGTGTTTTCTGAGCCCTTCCCTGGATTTGAACACTCGTTTTCTAATGTTTCCCGTGTACACGGTTGTTTTTGAATGTCCTAGTCTTCGTGTCTGACTGCCACATGAGAAAAAGGAAAATGAAGGGAGGAGAAGCTCTTTAAACCCCTTGGAGGTCTCTGTAGCTGAAGGGGGAGGAGCTTGCACAGTGCGGGGAGGTGCAACAACAATGATCGCCCTCTCTTTGTACCTGTGTGATCACAATCACTAGTCGGAGCACAGGTCCTCAGTGTCTCGAGAACAGGGTCGCTTATGGCCACCGTGGCTCCCATAGACTGTGAACAAGTCATTCCAGGAACACACAGGTGCCCGCCATGCGGCTGGGAGGTGGGAAGGGGGTCGCTGCCACTGTGCTGAGAGCTGAAACTGACGCAAGTTAACCACAATTTAAGGTCTCGGCCTTCGGTAGACTCCAGACTCCCAAATGGTTACATCACAGAGACAGACACCGAGGTACCCAACACCCCAATCAGGACAACACGGTGTTTGCAGTTTGCTTTTTTAATTAAAAATACGATCTGTACATCTTCCCTTTTGGATTAGTGCACATTTTTGTCAGGTCCTTTAGAGGAGAGCTCCAGAGCGTGATATAAGCTAGCAAGGAGGAGCATGGACTCTGGAGTCATGTAGATTTGGGATCGTCTCTGCTTGGACACCTGTCACCCTGTGTAGGGCCACTTTCAGCCACGTAAGTCTTCACGTCTTCACCTTCGAAGTGAGGATGTTACCTGACTCATAGCACTGTCTCAGCAGCTGAGTTCCTGAGATCCTTAAGAGCTCTTACAACTCGTTTTTTTTTTAAAAAGGGGAACAAGGCAGCAGAAAAACCGGCAAAGGGCTTGGGCGGGCCGGCCACAGAAGAAACCAGGCCGTTTGTAGAGTTCGTGAATCTCTGAAAAGACGGCCAGCCTCACTCATGATCAAAGAGACGCACATCACAGCAACAATGAGATAAAAATTTTCAGCTATCAGATTGGCAGAGATTAAACACTCAGGATACCTAACGTTGGCGAAGGTTCAGGGAAGCGGGCACTCTTGTCCATTGCTGGTGGGAGCGTAGACTGCCCCTGTATGTCTGGAGAGTGGCTTGGCCTGTTTGTTAAAATTGTAAACGTCCGTACCCTTTATGACAGGAGTTTTTCTTTAACAACTTATTCTACCTACACAAGCGTGCGAGATGAGTGTGTGTCGTTGCGACATGCGATCACAGGGAACCGACCCCCGTGTCCAGGAGAAGTAGTTGTGATACAGTCACGCAGTGAAATGCCACGCAAGAGACATCAGGAACGGGAAGCTCTGGTCCTGAAAACGTGTTCGCAGTGGACTGGAGCGTCGCAAAAGTGAGACATCACACAGACTCTCAGGCTCCTTCCAAGAAGACAAGCACTCTGATTCCGTAATGCCACAGTTTCCTGGTGACTGTAGTTAATCGTCACAGCTAAGCCAGGGCCCTTTTTGTTATGTGCCGTAAGTGATCTTTCCAGCAGCTAGGCTTTATCGGACCACGTTATTCTGAGATGTTCCGTGGTCGTGTACCCGCTCGAGGGCAGGCGTGTGGCCATCCTGGTTATTGTTAAAAACTTCACACAGGCTAGAATCGGGAGCAGGCAAAAAGCCATCACCGAAATGGTGAGTGAGTTCTCTTTTTAGGTCGACCTGGAAGGAAGGGTGCGTGTTACTTAGGCACTGAGGAGGGCTGGACCTCTTTTCATAGATTCGTGGACTCTACAAATGGCCTGTTTTCGTCTTCTGTGAATAGCGTGTTCACGCCCTTTGCTGTTTTTTGGGTTTTTTGGGTTTTTTTTTTTTTTGCTGGTCGGTTCCTCTTTTTAAAAAGAGTTCATTTATTCACCCAACAAACATTTCCTGAGCAGTGGCATTGTGGTCGGGGTGAGAGTTACTGCTGCCTTCGTGTAAACTGATAATTACTTCAAAGCATCACAGAGGAGCTGTTGACGGCATTAGGATAGAAGCTTCCAGGGAGCAGGGTCTCTGTTTGGTCCATGGCGTTATGCAAGTGTTGGGCACACAGTTGCTTAATGTATGGGATTTGCCACATGAATGCACAAACGAATGAATGAACGTGTCGAGCCAGTCTCTACAGATAACAGAAAGACACTCAAATTAGGAGAATTTGAGGAGAGTCCATTGGTAAAGGGACAGACACTTGTGTGGGGGCTGTAGGTGACCCACAAGGGATTGTGTACGAAGCCAGGCAGATGGGGAGGCATTGTCACAGCCCTAGGCTGCAGGGGAAGGGAGGGGAGAGGTTTCTGACCCTGTCCCCCGCCCACCCTGATGTCCCCACGAGCCGGGGGGGCAGAGAGCCCGGAGGCGGTCCACCAGGCTGCTTCGAACACAACTGGAGACGTTTGCCACAAACTCCCCGCGCCTGGAACATCACGTGCGTTGCATCAGACTCCACAAATAGCCCCGTGAGAGGCACAGCAGCATCTCCACTTTACGGCCGAGGAAACAGATTCGTTGGGTAACGACGCATTGGCAAAAGAATTCTCATTAGTTATGATTAGTAAGAGGCGAGCCACGATTCTAGGAAATTCCCAACACGTTCGTAAAGATTTGAGCCCAGGAGGGGTCTCGGGGACTGTAGAGACGGCCGCGTGGCCGGGTGGCTGAGAGCCTGGGAGTCCTCAGCCGGACTGGGCGGGTGGGGCCGATTTACTTCTCTGGGCCTCATCTGTAAAATGGGATAATTAATGCCCGTCTCTAGAGTGTTTGCGGGGATCGAATGAAATAATGATGATAGAATGTGGTGCCTGGTGTTGTGGACAGAAAACCTCAAGCCACGTACACTGTGGAAGAGTTAAGGCTTTGGAAACCCACCAGAATGGAAGTGCGTGTTTCCTCTTGGGTGGAGGAAAACGGTGGTTCTTTTTTCTGATATTTTCTCCAATTTTGACCACGAATACGTGTCACTCTGCTAGGACAAAACAGGGGCCCCTGGGTGGCTTAGTCGGTTAAGCGTCTGGCTTCAGCTCAGGTCGTGATCTCACGGTTCGTGAGTTCGAGCCCCGCATTGGGCTCTCTGCTGTCCATGCAGAGCCCGCTTGGGATCCTCTGTCCCCTGCTCTCTGCCCCTCCCCCGCTTGCGCGCTCGCACTCTCTCAAAAATAAAATATTAAACAAATTAAAACCGAAACAAAGAAACGAATGACACATTTGGTAATTGGCAGAGCCCTGGGAATTTGAGTCCTTCTGCCTTGAAATCCTGTATTTCCCTTTCTTTTTCTCATACTCTGTTTTTGGTTGGAGGGAGGAGACCTTTTTTGTTTGTTTTATTCTTTGCTGGATCCTCAAAGGTTACGTTAGTTTCAGGTATACAACAGTGATTTTGATTTTTATGCTCTGCCAGCCCACCGTCCTTCCTCATACTTTCTGAATCCTTTGGGATCCTTGCTGGGGACTTAAACAGTTTTGATTTTCTCATTATCAAAGCAATCCTGAACTATACTCGGTATTAATTCAGTTATCATTATGAGGATCCGAATTACCATTACGGATTATGATCGGAAATACGCGAAGTCGGAAGAACAATTTCACCTGGTCACAGCCACGCTGTCTGCATCAATTCGGATCTTGGGGCTTTTTTCCACGGAAGATTATAATACATGCCTTGTTCTACATGTTAGGAGTTCTTTGTAAACCTTATTTCCAACGGATGCCTAATAATCCCTCCGTTGGATATACCATCATTTACTCCAACAATCCCCCATTGTTGAATCTTCTCGTGGTTTCCGGTTCTCCACTGTCAGCAGCGGTGCTGGGGAAGAACATCTTTTTATTCAGAAAGGTGTTTTGTTTTGTTTCTGTTTGCCCTATTTCCTTAAGCTACTTTCTCAGAAGTGGAAATACGGGTTCAGAGACTGTTCACATTTTAAGTGTCTGCCTACATGTCGCCCCACGGTTCCCCAGAGGGCGGCACCCAGCGTGAGGATTCGGAGGGCACGTTCCTGCTCTAATGGTCTCTTGTTCTTTTCCCGAAGCCTCATAAAGAGGATGGCCCAGAGCGTGGTAGAAGTTATGGAAGACTCCAAGGGGAAGGTTCCGGAGAACCTCCTGGCCAACGGAGGTAGGTCGCTGGCATGTCCTTAGCCAGGGCTCTCCCAGCCGGTCCTAGCCCATCGGTGGCCCTGGCCGTGCTGAAATGTTACGAGCCCCCGCGGAGCGTCTGAGTTGACACGTCGGACAGGGCCGTGCTCGCTGTTTTGAGCCCAGCAGCACCACTGGTTTGAAGAGATGCCCCTGGGCACGTCTGTGGTCCAGCGGCGGCCTTTCTAAAGCCCCAGAACCTGGCGTTTCTTACGCTGTAGAAATCTGAAGGGAGAATGGGGTCAGTGGGGGCTAACGGTTGTTTGGCCTACCCGCCACGTCTATCGGTTTGTGCTCTTATCCTGCATGGAAAATTCCATCCGTTTCCCCCACCCCTGCCCCACCCATTTATCCCTGTCGCCACACTGGAAAATGCCTTGAGGGGCTGAGGAAAGCCTCCAACTTTCAGTCTTCATTGTGCCCAGTAACTACTCGAGAGAGACCAAAACTGCTCTGTGTCCTGTGTCCGCATTTTGAACGCTCGTCCGTCTCCCCTGTGGTCCAGTAGAGACCTTCGGATTCCGGAGACATTCAGGCCCATTAATCGTGTACAGACTGAGTGCACTTACAATGTGCGCGACAGAAACTCTGAGACTTTGGGAACTTTAGAACTCGGTGCTGAAACTCCGTGGAGGTCATTAAACGTGTGGCTGTATGCGTGTGCAGGTGCTGCACGTGTTACTCTGTATTTAACACTTCTGTCACTCGTTGCACATCAGTTCGTGTTCACTGTCCCCTCTTGGGAACCCCAGAAAAGGCCGTGTTATTTGCTTGCTTAACTGGACAAATGGGAACGCTCGTACTCCCCAACCTGAACTTGGCTTCGTGTGTTAACGCAGTGGAGTAACCGCCCTCCCCTTATTACGTTGCAGGTTTGAAGGAAAAACTGAAATGTTTAAAGAGTAGGTTATGCGTTGTTTGCCGTGAGTGTGCCTGGTGTGATGCCCGCATGCCCCTGGGAAGGTGGATTCTCCCCTGGTCGTAGGGCTGCGGTGATGGGGTCACGGGGGATTTCTCGAGCAACACCCTGGCACCTTGGTCACCGTATCCGTACGACCCATCGCCGGTTTTGTTCCTCTCCCGTCCTTCTCGTGCCTGCCCTGCCTTCCCGCCCGAGCACTGCATGCCTCCAGGAGTGGGGAGTGCCCTGGCTCTCGAGTTCAAGGCAGACTTCTGCATCTTTTGGCTCGTGGTCTTCTACTCGCTTGGATGTCTGTCCTCAGCGTCCCCTCTCCTGCCCGCCCTTGGAAGCCGGTTGCTTGGTGGACCCTGGCGGCTTAAATGTCCGGCTGAGCTTTGCGTGGCCCTGAGGGGGTTCGCTCGGCCAAGGACCCTTCTTCTCCTGAGCCTCCTGGGAGAGCCCCTGCGCCCGAATGGGCCACTCCTGGCTTCAGCGTGAGAAAGAAGGAGCCCTTTGCTTTGGGTTTTCTCCAACTGGCTCAAACTGGTGGAATTAAGGCCAGCCAGCCCATTCGGGATGAGCACAAATCTTTACCGATTGGCACTTCTCCAAATACCTTTCCACATGCTATCTGTTTGTTTACATGGAAATTTCTTGCTGGCGCTGATAAAAACTTATTTTGTTTCATTGATCAGCTGGACTTATTTTCCAACAGGGGACTAGACTGAAGAGCTGACTTACGGTAGAGAGCTCCTGTTCTGCATCAAAACCTGGTCTTTAAGGCACGAGGATTCGAGCTCACATTACAGTAGCAGTCAGGGAAAAATAAAATAAATAAGTAAATAGCAATCAGGATGCTTATATCCTACTCAAAATTCACGTTACTTAGAACTAGAGGCCATCACTCCACTATCCCCGTCCCCAGTGCAGATGGCAGCTACTCTGAGGGCTGGCCACCTCTCATCTCGGGAGGAGGAAATTCAGCTTAAAAAAATTTTTTTTTAATGTTTTTATTTATTTTTGAGACAGAGGGAGACAGAGCGTGAGCAGGGGAGGGGCGGAGAGAGAGAGGGAGACCCAGAATCCGAAGCAGGCTCCAGGCTCCGAGC